AGCCTAGTGTAGATAGGGACGACCCGGCGGGAGGGCCCTGGCCGGAAGCGCTCCGAGAGGACGCCGTCTCTGCTATCGATTCCCACCGGTCGGCGCCAGGCCGCAGCGAGGTGTGCCTTCTGCGAAAGAGATAACGATCCCTTTCCTCCGCACCGTCGGCTGTCTTCCCGGGAAAGCGATTCATTCAGAAAATCATTTCGTCGTGTTCCCGCGAAATCAAGCTCTCGCGAAGAATTGTCGTAATAATCACGTTTTTTTTTTTCTTTTTCTAGACTCCGTGCAGGTTGAAACAAGGGGGAGGGGGCGGGACTATACAGATCTGTATCCCTAGTTTGTCTTTGTGTCGGTATTTGTGTGCGTGTAGCGGTGCGCGTTAATTATTTCACGATCGAGTCGTCAGCGAAATAGTTTCTCCTTTAAATTAGGATTGATTTTATATAAAAGGCAATCTATTAATCATACGTTGTTAAGCTGTGAACTGAAAACGGTTTATGATAATGACGATTGTTTGATCTGCGAATATCGGCAGATTAAAGAGGGGCATCTTAAATGGGCTGTGCAACGACATTGGGTAGAAATATTTCTTACTTTACACCAGCTTCCTGCCACTAGTGGGACCCAAGAATACTCGAATGCAACACCACTGACCAAGAAGCGTCCTCGTGGCGGCGGAATTCAAAGGATCAAAGCGGAGCTTTTCTTTCAGTCTCTCCTTCCAAAGCCGCCTTTTTGCTCCTTCGCGAAATTCGATGACGGAGCTGTGGGGACAATGGCAACAGAACGATCCCCGCGAATGCGTCATCGAGCTTTGCGGTGACGATATTCAAATGCTGCTCACACAGTGGACGCGAAGACTGCGTACGCATTCGATCTGGGCTCGTGATAATTACTAGCTCGAGAAGCATTCGGATAGTGGCCCGTGTCCAACCGCTGCAACGACGACAATAGCCGAGCCATAACAATATCTGGAACTCAGCGCGTGTCCTGTGCTTTGCCAACCCCAGCGCGTGGCTATGATCAACATTGGCGGCATATAATCGGCTCAAGATCACGTGACCGCTTGTTCCGGCTGCGAGTTGAGGGGGTGAACGATGCTCGTTTTTCTTTAATTTTTTTTTGCAACTTCTATTGCGTGGGGTGAAAAACGAACGCGTGTTTCATAGGTCATTAACGTCAGGGATGCGTTTTAAGCGGTATTTGCGCAAAGTACAAAAATTGTGGCATCGCCACTTTAAACACTGAATTTGTTGGAACAATTAAACTAGTAAAATTGTAATTGACAAAGAGCCCTTTATACATGTCAACCTAGTCGTTAGGCTTGGCGCTGTAAAAACATGTTTTTAAGCATCGAATCATTTTTTGTTTGAACTCCCAAATCCCAGTACTTCTCATGCCACCTGTCCGTCCGTCCGTCAAACCGTCCGTGTGTTTTCCTGCTATATTTGGCTCAAATTTTAATAAACAATATATGTTCTTCTTCACTCCCTGAAACGACCGTTTAATGTCTCCCGAACAAAGTTTAAGTGTAGCTCCTCAAAATCACGGCATTTCATGCATTCGAGGACTTTGGAGATAAAGGTCGCGGGTGTGAAAGCAGTTTGAACTAACAAAGACCATTCAGGCCAGCTGGTGAATTCTCAACAACTTTAAAACTGGAGACTGAAGAGATAAAAAGGGATGACACACGCACACAAACACACACGCACACACAGGTCTGAAACTGAGCTGCGACGTTCATTCCTCTTTCCTTGTTCATAAACGTCACAAACAACCGACCATAAAGACGGACGAGCAGCCATAAAGGAGAAGACACTCCCTCAATAATTCCTTCCCATTCGACAAAGAGTGAGACATGTTTCCTTCTTGCGGGGAGTAGCTTATAGACCCGCTCATGTGGGGAAAGGCGGGAAGAAGAGCGAGAGAGGGAGCGAAGGAAACTTGGAACCCGTTTTTTGCCCAGCAGAAGGCACTTCTGTAGGTCGGCTTTCATAAAGGCCGACGAACTGCCAGAGAGAAATATATATATATATATATATATATATATATATATATATATATATATATATCAGTCCCTCCTTTCCATTCAAGAAAGAGGGAGACCCTCCACCTTTTTCGGGAAGTAGCTCGAAGATCCGCTCTTCTGGGGAGAGGATGAGAGAAGAGTGCGAGAGAGATTGGAGAGAAGGAAACTGGGAACCTGCTTTTCTTCCCGGGAGAAGACGATTTTGTAGGTCGGCCTTTTAGACGCGGGAAGTCAGTCATCATCACAACAACCCTTCAAGGTGTCCAGACTCAAGACCGTCTTTTCCCGCTCACAGCCTTGGAAGGCACACAACCAGCCGACCGACCCAGCTTAGCTTAACCCCCATTCCTGTGTGTGTGTGCATGTAGCCTCCTATATTCAAATACTTGTTAGTGAGCGCGTTGGTAAGGATGTAAGCTTAGAAAGAGTTATATACGTAAAGACAGAGGACGGGACAACACGTCTTTCAACATTCAACAAATGACTTATTGCCGAAATCGGGATGCCTCCTTCCTTCCTCTCCTTCCCGCTGTCTCTGCGGTTTACTTTCGTCCAGTTTTTCTCCCGGGGACTTGTCTTGACCTCCTCCTTCCCCTTCCCCCTCCTTTAAACTTTCCCTCTCCTATAGTGGAGTTCCGAAAACGAAGAGTCCGGCAATAAATCATTTATTTCTTGAGAGTTGAAATATGTGTTGTCCCGTCCCCTGTCTTTACGTATATAACTCTTTCTAAACTTACTCCTATATTCACTTTTCAATAAATCGCGTATTCGTTTTTCTCTTCCCGTGATGTATACAAGCGTCGTTACGACTCAGATGTAATGAACCGCAAAATCACCGTCCTCTCGATGTCACCCGATCCGAATGACCCTTGGTTTGGGCTATCGGTGCCGCCAAGAAATACGACCTCTCCTTTGCCGAGGGCCCGGAATAAGGTTAGCGCGAACGGACGGCATTTCTTCCGGGGAAACGCTGACCGCTCGAGGCGATACATGGGCACATAAATTCTTACCGGGCGGTCGGGTTGGCGTTCCTTGTTTATGTGTCCCGCTTCTGGGAATTTATGCGCGACATCTGTTATTCCCTGCGACCTATAAAGGCGTCGGGTCGCTTGGCGGTAGCAGACGCCTGGATGAGTAACTGAGAAGAGCCCAACCAGCATCTCCTGTTGTCACTGACAGAAAGAGACCCGCTGGGCTCTCTTTCGAGCTCCCGGCCTCCAGCACGCGCTTCATGCCTTCCGTCGTGCTTTGGCTGTACGACTTTGTTATTAAGAAGGTCTGCGGGGCCCAACGAACCTTCTCTCTACAAGTTCTAAAACCAAGATAACGCGCTATTCAACGCATATACAGCAACGCATTTCCACTCAGTGGCATATAGGTGTCATACCACACTTCGCGCTTCCGAGACAGTATAGGTTACTGACACTGCGGGACTGTTCACGTACAATCCTCTTTTATACGTGCGGCATGCTTCGACGTGCAGTTTGGCGTCGATGGTAAACTTCAATCGTACGTGCTTGCTCACACTTGCAAGCACTAACACGTCAGCTGACAAAACGCTTCGATCGCACATGTGTATCAACGCTTTCAACACGTTTCAAAGTATAGACCTTTCCAGAAAGAGTGCTCCTGGCCGCTTGCATTTTCAGTGTTCGTGCGTCTGGCGCGGGATCTGCTCGCTTTCCGAAGCGATGAACATGCGCGTGCTGGGCTGAGGAGATCGCACGCTGGGCTGAGCATTGGAATGGTGTATACACTCGGTGAAAAGTTATGAAAGCAATAAATGCGCCACCTCCAGCGCTACCTTTCAGCTTTTGACAACTCTTCGGCTGGGGAATCGGTGGCCGAGTGGGCTATCGCACACCAGCTTGGAGCACGTGGAGCGAAAGCTCGCGCTGCAGAACCCAGGGATCCTCAATTTAATCCCCACACCTACACTTTAAAACAAAAGGGTATCGCCTTACACCCTTTTGTTCCATATAATGCACCCCAAAACTTTAGTTCAACGTACAGTGCACTATAGTCGAACAGACGGCCCCTAATTTTACGGAGGGATTGATAACCGTTTGGTAAAACTTATTAAATAGCTAAAGTGCGCATCAAAGACCACACAAAGAAAACACTGAGGTTTTGCGGTAGGGCCAAGAAAACCCCGAATATATATATATATATTTTTTTTTTGTAGTCAGTAACACGTACACTAACTATTTTAATAAGTTTTACCACACGGCTATCAATCCTCTCGTGAAACTTAGTACCGTCAAATGAACGTCAGTGCGCTGTACATCGAACTGAAGTTTTGGGATCTCTTATATGGGATAATACACACTTTTTTGTTTTAAGTGTGCCCGTTTTGATGAGCATCGTACTGGCGTGGTGCACGTCGTGGTACTACTGCGTGGTGCACGTTAAAAACCCCAGGCTAGCGGTTGTACTGCACTGGCTAAATTGCTCATCTACAGCTGGGAGACTCGTCGCCCGTTAAGGCAGACTAAGTTCTAGGCTGTATAAACACACACACAACCCAATTTTTTTTTTTTTTTTTTTACTATTTGACGGACGCATCGCCACAGCCCGATCGGAGGCTATGTAGAATATTTTTACGTTATTGTTTTGTTCGGCCAGACTTGGTGGCCCCGCGTTTCGAAAACGAAGTGAACGTCGCAAAACACAAACAGGCCTTCGTTCGGGTATCTGCGGTTCCCAGGCCCCGGAATGTGAGGGGGGTCATAAACGGAGGGGCGCTCCTGGCCTTCGGCTCGGACACATCTGGAACGCATCGCACCACCCCGCCTCTCTCTCCCCCCTTTGCTGTTGTTCTCTCTTTCCCTTGCCAGTGTCGGTGACTTTGTCCTTTGTATTTGTACAGAAATAAACCAGTGTTCTTTTCTCAACGAAACGTATCGGACGCTTCCTGACGTTCTCCTACGAACGCAACGAGTTTAAACTTAACGTAAATTCAGTCTTTTATATGTAGAAGTTCCCACAATTTTGGTGCCGAAACCCGGGAGAACGTCAGGGAACTCACTCTGGCAAACAGACACTCAACGGAAGCTGCGACAGCCTCACGCAGTGAAGCCAACGAACAACGTGAACGAGCGACTGCAATGGAGAAACTGAAGAAAAAACGAGCGGTCGTCCGAGCTGCGGTCACCAGGATTATCAACGAGATGACCACAGCAATGAAAGGAGCTCCATCGCAGCAAGGTGAGCTTGACGAAAAACTTTCTCTCCTTGCTTTAAAAGAAAAATCGCTTCGTGAGCTTGACCAACAAGTAGCCGACCTGACCGACGTGAACGATATCGAGGAGGAAACGGAAGCTAGCCTCGGTTATGAAGATGCTATCAGCATAGCCAGAACTAGAGCCTTGAGGCAGCTACAAGAAGTCACGAACAACGAGACAACCTCCTCTACCTCTAGCAACGTGTCGCGTATGGAGGTACAAAGGGGTAACGGCGCAACTGTCCCAAACGTAAAGCTACCCAAATTGGAGTTACCGAAGTTCAACGGAGAGCTGGCGGAGTGGCAGACATTCTGGGATCAGTTTCAATCGTCAATCGACCAGAACCCAGCATTGTCTCCCGTAGACAAGTTCAAATATCTCAAAGTGTATCTGGTCGGCCAAGCGGAGTCTGTCATCAAAGGTATTCCGGTAACCGGGGACAACTATGGCACGGCCGTAGAACTACTGAGGAAGAGGTTCGGCCAACCCTCCGTCATCGTCAACGATCACCTCACGCACCTGTTGAACGTTAAACCAATCACTATGTCAGACGCGGCGAATGGGCTCCGCAGGCTCTATGACGATGTGCAGACACGCATGCGGAGCCTCAAAAGCTTGGGAGTTGACTCAGATTCGTATGGGGTACTGTTGCACACTGTTCTCCAGAGATCTCTTCCTCCTGAGCTCATTCTCAGATACAATCGGAGTTTGATTGTCGAAAAGCGACCACAGACCGAAGGTAGAGACGACCTCGCGAGGTTGCTTGAGTTTATTGAAATCGAGGTGGAAACCAGAGAAAAATGCCGACAGCTCACTCCCCACGCGAACCAACGAACGGCACCCGAATCGCGCCACCGAGAGTTTCGCTCCGAAAAGGGAGGCTCTGCGGCAGCATTGACCAGTGCCGCGAAGTCAGAAATGAGGCGCTGCGTATTCTGCGGCTCTAACGAGCACATCTTGGAGAACTGTACGTCACCCCTTACGATCCAAGAAAAGAAGGAAAAACTGAAGGCGGAGAACAGGTGCTTTCGGTGCACAAAGCAGTTCCATCGCTCCCGAGAGTGCAGGTCCGCCCAGAAACTATCGTGCGCAAGGTGTTCTAGGAGACATCTAACCGTGATGTGCGACCCCGAGTGGGCAGGAGCAGGGCAGTCGACGAGCTCTGACTCAAACCCGCCTCAGTTTATTGGCATCTCGAGCGCCTGTACAACCAGCCACAATCAGGTGCTCCTTCAAACGGCCAGGATGCGAGCGAGGGGTCAGACCGAGACTTCCCTGCGAGCACTAATCGATGGAGGCAGTCAGCGAACCTTCATCCGTCGAGACACCTCCGAAAAACTTCGATGTAGACCAGTTGGAGAGGAGGAGTTAACGATATTCGCTTTCGGTGAGTCGGCGCGTGGTACGAAAAGAAGATGCCGCCGGGTGGAGCTTATACTTCGAAGCCACCACGGAGACGCCGAAATCGTCATCGAGGCCTTGGAGGTTCCGGAGATCTGCGGAGAGATTTTGGGCATCACTGATGGTGATCTGATCAACAGCCTACAAGGGCAAGGGATCACACTCGCTGATCTACCTGTGGGGGACTGTCAAAGGGAGCGTGGAGTGAGCATTCTAATAGGAGCGGATTACTATTGGAGGGTCACCACCGGGAACGTGCATCGCGTCAGCCCTTCACTGACCGCCGTGGAGACTATCTTCGGGTGGTCTCTGCAGGGCCCCCTGAAGGTGAACAACGCTGCCAACGTATGCGCAACGACAGCCGTCTTCAGAGTCAACGTTGACGAGACCCCAGGGTGCATCGCAACTGAACTGCGTGCATTCTGGGATCTTGAAAGCCTTGGCATTAAGGACACCTTCCAGAGTAGCGAAGGTAATGAGCCATCGAAAGAACTGGTGACTTCTTTCAACTCGTCCCTGATAATGACTGACGGCAGATACGAGACCCGCCTCCCTTGGAAGACCTCAGAGCGTCAATTGACGAACAACAAGGAGGTTGCTTCTATGCGCTTGACAGCCTTGCTGAAGAAACTTCGCCGAGACAACTGCCTGCTAACGCAGTATGACAAGTCGATAAGGGAATATATGAGCAACGGCTTTGCTGAAAGAGTTCCCCCTGAGGATGAAGACGGGCCCATTGGCATGACGTATTATATGCCTCACCGGGCCGTGATCAAGGAGGACCGCGAAACCACAAAAATTCGCATCGTGTTTGACGCCTCGTCACATGCTCCAAACTCTGCCTCGCTTAATGATCATCTTCATGCTGGGCCCAACTTGAACCCAGAGCTGCTGCAAGTGCTTTTGAACTTCCGTGAGCACCCCATCGCTCTTAGCGCCGACATAGAAAAGGCGTTTCTGCAGGTCTCCCTCGCCCCGGAGGACAGAGACGCTCTTCGCTTTTTCTGGTTCAAAGATATGCCCAGGGGTGACGAATTGGCAAACCCGCCTGAGACATGGAGAATGACGCGAGTGCCCTTTGGGGCGTCATGCAGCCCCTTTCTGCTTTCAGCGACGATTCGACATCATTTAGACACTGTAAGGGGAACGTACCCCGAGACTGCGGGGATCATCGACACGTGTCTGTATGTTGACGATTTGCTTACGGGCGCGGAGACAAATGTTCAAGCTCGTGTAATTTACGAAGAAGCCAGCGTCATCATGACAGGAGCGGGCATGAAACTATGCAAGTGGAACACAAACGACAACGACCTGCAGCGTGTCTTCAACTCAAACGAAGCGAACGACAGGTCAGAAACCACAGGCCAAAACGCAGAAGTCGTGAAGATCCTTGGCCTGCTCTGGAACAGAGTGGATGATCGGCTAACTGTCAACCTGGAAAATGTACTCGGGTTCGTGGACAACACCAAGCTCACCAAGCGCGGTCTTCTCCAGACATCTGCCCGAATATATGATCCGCTCGGGGTGATCGCCCCCGTCGTCGTCACAGTGAAACTATTGTTTCAGACACTTTGGGAGCTGGCACTGGGATGGGACGAACATCTTCCAGACAACATCGCTGGGGAATGGTCGGACTGGTGTTCCCAACTTTCTGCGCTTCGGGAGATGTCGATTCCACGAAGATACACCAGCCTGAAGGGGGACAGCGACGTCACGACTGTCCAACTTCATCTGTTTTCCGACGCTAGTCCCAGGGCCTACGGTGCAGTGGCCTATCTCAGGACAGAGAGTGAAACCGACGTAACGATTACGCTTCTCATGTCCAAATCAAGAGTCGCTCCACTTAAAAGGCTGACTCTACCAAGGCTTGAACTCATGGGAGCCTTATTGGCGGCAAGGTTGCACCACTATCTCATCGGCACGCTGAGGACACCGCTGCAGGCTGTCTACCTTTGGACTGATTCGACCATCGCCATGCACTGGATCAGGGGGTCTGCCTTGAAGTGGAAGCCCTTTGTCGCGAACCGCGTAACGGAAATTCAGCAACTGACGAATCCTGTGCAGTGGGGGCACTGTCCAGGTAACGAGAATCCTGCAGACCTGTTGACCAGGGGACTGACAGCTCCTACGTTGGTTACTAGCGGACTCTGGTGGAGAGGACCCGACTGGCTGCGGGGTTCCCAAACGGAATGGCCCCAACGGACTCCGAGAGAACGACTGGACGACACCGACATTCATCGGCAGGAGCAACGGGAATCGAGGCCATGTGTCACTCTTGTTGTTATGGAGCCTCTCATTCCATTGCAACGCTACAGCAGCCTGAATCGTCTCCTGCGGGTCACGGCGTGGATCCTGCGTTTTGTACGGAATTGCCGGCGAGTTCAGAGAAAGCAAGCATCATTGACAGCACAGGAAATGAGCGACGCGGAAGAATTCCTGGTGCGACAAACGCAACGTGAAGAGTTCGGGGAGGAACTGGCCGCAATACAAGACAAGGGGGAGTGCAGCAAGGGGTCTCCGTTAAGTTCGTTGGGGGCCTATCTTGACTCTAATGGCATCCTTCGCGTCGGGGGAAGGTTGCAGAAGACGCAACGTCAGCTGGAGGAAAAGCACCCAATCATCCTGCCTCCCAAGCACCTCTTCACTGAGCTGCTTATTCGCGCGACCCACGAACGTCTACTTCATGCGGGTCTTCGTGACACCGTAACGGAGATCAGGGAGAGGTATTGGGTCATAAGGGCTCGACAAGTGACGAAGCGAATGCTGAAACAGTGTGTGACTTGCAATCGGCTTCACTGCAAGCCGGCTTGTGAACCTACAGCACCCCTGCCGGGCCTGCGGGTGAACCCGGCCGATCCCTGCGAGGTCGTTGGCATGGACTTTGCAGGTCCTCTCTTCGCTAAGGAGTGTGGTGTTGTGAAAAAGTGCTACATCCTTGTGATAACGTGCGCCGTCACGAGAGCTGTGCATCTGGAACTTGTCAGTGACCTGACAACGGAGAGGTTCATCTTGGCCTTCAGACGCTTCATCTCTCGAAGAGGAGTGTGTCGTGTTGTGCTGACTGACAATGCTCAGACATTTCGCAGGGCCGACAAGGAACTCGGAGAACTTTGGGTCTGCATACGGAGAGAGGAGGTTTCTGCTGTGTTCGCGTCCCTCCGTGTGCAGTGGAAATTTATTGTTGAGAGGGCTGCCTGGTGGGGCGGGTTTTGGGAACGGATGGTGCGATGCGTCAAGACTGTTCTAAAAAAGGTCTTGGGTCATGGGTTTCTGAAATTCGAAGAACTGAGCACAGTGTTGACGTAAGTCGAGGCTGTACTAAATTCCAGGCCTCTAACGTTCGTCTACGCTGAGACATCCGAACCAGACCCGCTCACACCAGCGCATTTTCTTGTGGGGAGACGACTTACGTCGCTCCCTTCATGCGAACGTCGCCTCGTCTCTGAGTCCAGCGCCGCCGACATTCAGAGGCGCTGAAAACACAGGCAGGCGCTTGCTGACCAGTTCTGGAGAAGGTGGCGTCGGGAGTATTTAAACGAATTACGTTCTGCGCACCACTCCCGACCCACCAAGTCCACTGGACTTAAAGAAGGAGACTTTGTAATCGTAAATGAACATTTACGGCCACGGCAGAATTGGTGCACGGGCCGTGTTGTCAAAACTTTCCCTGGGCGCGATGGACGCGTGCGTTCATGTACAATAAGAATCCCCCATGGAAAGGTCATTAAACGACCGGTCCAACTTCTGTATCCGTTAGAGTCTTTGAACTAATGAGCAATTGTATGCTCATTGCGGGGGGAGATGTTTGTAGAATATTTTTACGTTATTGTTTTGTTCGGCCAGACTCGGTGGCCCCGCGTTTCGAAAACGAAGTGAACGTCGCAAAACACAAACAGGCCTTGGTTCGGGTATCTGCGGTTCCCAGGCCCCGGAATGTGAGGGGGGTCATAAACGGAGGGGCGCTCCTGGCCTTCGGCTCGGACACATCTGGAACGAATCGCACCACCCCGCCTCTCTCTCCCCCCTTTGCTGTTGTTCTCTCTTTCCCTTGCCAGTGTCGGTGACTTTGTCCTTTGTATTTGTACAGAAATAAACCAGTGTTCTTTTCTCAACGAAACGTATCGGACGCTTCCTGACGTTCTCCTACGAACGCAACGAGTTTAAACTTAACGTAAATTCAGTCTTTTATATATAGAAGTTCCCACAGGCTACAAGTGCGCGTTGCCGTCGGAGCGTCTACTGCATTTTTACTGATCTTTGCACATCTCGCTGAGGTGCCGAGTCAGTAACAGCGGTCATGTCGAGCCCATTCCATGCCTGCACGGGCGAGTGTAGTGTTTTCTGGAGTACCGCCACGGACACAGACCCTTGCTTTAAACCCCCCGCTTCTCCTCATGTTTGTATGAATAAATTAAAAAAAAGAAAAAACACAGTGGTCTGTGGGAAGGCAATAGCCTCTCGTGCTATTGAAATAACGAAGTAAATATCTCGTAATGAAATAAAAAAATAAGTGGAGCACTGGCTTCATCAACGCTGGCGTGAAGTGTCCATATTAGTTCATTTCTTTGGGGTTTCAGTCTTGATAATCAGATCAGAACATAAACCAAGATGGAACACCATCATCCCCATCAGAACCTTACGGTTGTACTGGGGCACTAAACAGATAAAGAATTATTGCGACAGTGTCGCTTTTGTTTCAGTGAATCCGACGGCGTGTTAAGGGCGTACGGAATCGAAACTCGGAATACACCCCGAAACACATCGAAACAATTGAAATATGATCCATGATATCCGTAAAGGATTATCACGCGCTTGTATTTTCAGCGGATGGTTCTATTTTTCGTTCCAACCGACGGATACTGGCTTCGAGGCGGCGCGATGCATCTCGGGATATTTGCCCGTGACTTCATGCTCGCAACGTTACGGGCACATACACGGCCAAGGGTACCGTAATCACGATCGTCATCATTAGGTGGCGCCGGCTTTATCGTGAACGCGTTACAATAGCGAGTTTTAGTAGACCGTGTTTCCCCCTCCGCTAAGCCCCTCCGCTACCCGGAACTCTACAGCCAAGGCCATCAGCACGCAGGCGCAGTGGCGGTTTCTTCGTAGCAGAGGGGGAAATACGGTCAACTAAAACTCCCTGTCTTCGTAGCGGAGAGTTAGCGGCGGGGGAAATACGGTCAACTAAAACTCCCTAACAGGGAGTTTTAGTAGACCGTGTTTCCCCCTCCGCTAACCCTCCGCTACAAAGAAACCGCCACTGCGCCTGCGTGCCGATGGCCTTGGCTGTAGAGTTCCGGGTAGCGGAGGGGCTTAGCGGAGGGGGAAACACGGTCTACTAAAGGCTCACTAATCCCGCCAAGTGGGATTACCCGAGGTACAATGTAGTAGAACTTATAGGTGTGCCAAGCGCCGCTCGTTCCCGGGCGCCTCCATCGGACACGCCGCGCCGTGGCGCTGCTACTGATGGGCCCGTGACGTCAGACATTCCAACGAAGCTTCGTCCCCCAACTACCAGGTGGTATTGGGAGATCGTATTATTCTCAAAGGAGCAATATTAAAATTACTCTTTTGCGTTTACGGACGAAATGCTAGTGTTTGTGAGCTGCGGTCATAAAAGAGACAACGTGTACACAAAGAAATATGCGCTAAAATTTCGCTGTTTTACTCTTTTAAGGGCAGTCCACACGTGAAAACTTTTGCTGTGCACAACATTTGCTGGACCATAGCTTCCTGTATACTCGCAGAGCCTGGCAGTTCGATGTGCCCGGTCGAAGATTTGGAGCGCGAGGATCTGGTAGCACAGAGCATTCCTCGGGGAGCCTGTAGTCAGCAGACAGCTTTTGCAGCGGCGAGGACCTGAAACTAGGTTTTCAAACCCGATGAGAAAACGAGCGGCAGCCCGAGGAACGGGAGAAGCACGGGCGGACATTCCATCGCTCTGGAGAAGTGTGTTTCGGCGTCTCACCGCAGCGGGGCGCCCGTTACATGGCTCGCCTTTCATCCGTTGTCTGCCCCTCTACCTTTTCACTTTTGGCGGCCGCATCTCGTGGCGATCTACCAGGCTTTGTCAGTATAGAGGAGGCAATGGCTGGACGGAAGCGGAGGTTTTCCCTCTGCTTCGCGGATTCACTTTAAAAAAACAAAGTGCTGTTTTTTTCTTGTTCGGGAGAAAGTTACCTTCCGCTGGTATCCTTGGACAAAGCCTTGGATGTGCTCATGACGTAAGGCAGGACGTAGCCACTCACACATCAGGAGGGTTTTAGAGCGCAGCTCTTAGGCGCCCGTTTCCGGCTTGAGTGGCGTCGCCGTCGTCCTCGTCGTAACTACGAGTTGCATGCAACATGCATGCAACGCGCATGCGAAGCTTGCATGCAACACGATGCATGCAAAGGCGTAACCGCGCGCTGCATGCGCGTTGCATGCAACCCACGAGTCGCATGCAGCCCGCTCGTTTTATGCATTCGGTACGTTGCAAGTAACCCGCAAGCAAAGCTTGCACGCAAGTGGCGTAACCGCGCGTTGCATGCAACGCGCATGCAAAGCTTCCATGCAACGGGTTGCATGCAAGCGGCGTAACCGCGCGTTGCATTATGGGTAGTTTCCCTTAATGAAGTCACGAGGCTACTCTCGTGACTCGTGAGGGTTACGAGGGTTACTCTCACGAGGGTTACGAGGGTTACCTTCACGAGGATCACGAGGGTTACCTTCACGAGGATCACGAGGGTTACCCTCAGGAGGGTCC